CACATTTGGAAGGGGAACCCCATCCCTGCAGCTTATGATGGAGCCTGTCAAGCTCCTGAAGGATGGTGTGACACCGTGATGGGACAGCCAGCAGACAGGCAGAATAACTTGGCATGTCCCTTCCAAGCACATGCTGTGAGCCCACACCGGCTGTCCAGGCAGTATGTGCAAACCAACGTGCCCCACTGTCAGCGTGGAGCTGCCAGCCCCCTCCTCCTCATGCAGCAACACGGAGAAACTGTAAGAAACAGGAGGGGTTTTATGGGGTCAGACAGCATTGCGGTCCCATTGCTTTCCCACGCTAATCTTCATCAGACAGACGTCACTCCACTGCCTTGCGGAAGCAAACATGTCCGTGGGCATCTGCCACATCCCAAATTTAGAATGATTTTTAACAAGCTGGAAGGAGCAAAATAAACAGCACTTGATCTGCAAGCTTCCCATTCTTGACAGCGTCCCTAGAGGTGGTAGAAAGCTGAGGAGATAGCTCCCTGCTTTAATTGGTACATTGAGATTCTTCCAGGCCACTACGCAACTGTTAATAAGCAACTTAATTAAGCACTAACCCAGTTCATATTTCTACCCTCCAGAGGCTCTTGTTTCTTTTTTTTTTTTTTTTTTTTTTTTTTTATTACGTCCAAAGCCGTGGGGAGTTTTGTCCTAATCATGTAAAACAAGCTGAGGGCAGTGACACCAGGCAACTTATTTAACTCCTGATCTCCAGACACCTCCACCAGATGCCCAGGCCTGCATTTCTTCCCCAAAAAGAAGACAGAGGACTCTGCGAATGAGGTGTGAATTGCTACAAGTCAGCAAAAATGAAGGCAATAATCCTTAACATCAGCAGCCAGCTCACCCCCACTGAGTGTAAAAAGGAGAAAGTGTTGGGCAAAGACAGGTCATCTCCAGGCATCAGGTGCCAGCACACAGGCGTGTTTTAGGCAGTCTCCTGAATGACTGAGCAAACTTATTCAGCCCTCCATGAGCATCTTCCAAAATGGGGGTGTCCTCCATGCTGTCCTCAGCCACACACCACCCAGAGGAGACACCTCAGAGCACCATGTGACAGAGAAGTAGCAAAGGAAAGAAGATGTCATTTCCTGATCCCCAGGGAGAGCTTCAATATCTGGCTGCTCCAACCAGCTGGTTCTCACTGTCGCTATCTGCTAAAGGAACCACAAGAATAAGCATCCGTGCCCCACAACACACTTCAGCCCCTCATTATTACTGGGCAACTATTCACTGTGTGCAGCCTCAACATCAGGCTGGTTTGATGGGTTTGCTGAGGAGGTCCTCAGTAACAGTGTTCTCAGAAGTTTTCATTTTTCTTTCTAAGGCTGGGCTGGGGTAAATCAAAACTTCCTCCAATAGCTGTCGTGGAAAGTGATGGGTTTAATAGTCATGCGAACAATAGTGGGGTTTCCATTACAGGTGAGTTATGAACCATTTAAGTTAAAAAACAACTGGATTTTACTGCTGCCAGGCACATTTAAGTTAGCACCCTCAGACTGAGGAAGGAGGGGTGACTATGGGGAAGCCAAGCAGTCACCAGGCTTATGGAGGGAAGGAGCATTTCTTGCTGGTGATGAATGAATATGAATCCTTCTGCTCAAGGAGAAATGGTCTATTAGCCTCAAAAAACCTTGTACACCAACAGGCACATTGCCAATGCACACATCATGATTCATGATTGAATGGTAAAGCTGATGCGGATTTTCCTCACTGAAAAATAGGGTCTGTCTCCTTCTGTAACATTTTTATTCCAAGGGAAACAAAGAATTTCAGAGCCCCCAAACAGTAACAGCATAGCTGGAGATTTCTAGCACAAACATTGACGAACAGCTGGGCTGGGGGACAGTGAGGGAAGAGCTCTGGTGACATAAATCAGGGTTGCCACATGGAGTATGATTTACATTCAATGAAGTCCTGTCCCACAGTTAGAAACAAGATCAGGTGGTGGCAGCGGTTGCGGTGAGGTACAACTACCCACTGAGCTCCTGGGCTGGATGAAGTGATAGGACCTGGTAGGCTGACCGCAGAGAGCACCCCTGTAGCAGAGGCTGTATAAGGAGCACACATGTGCTTTGCAGCACGCTCTAAAACTGTGAGACTATGAGACAACCACCAGGTTAAAAATACTGCAAAAATGAATGACTTGAAAATAGACCATCAAGCATGTTGCTACTGAAAATGCCCCTTCCTTCCCACAACAATAGCTTGTATGGAAAAAACTTTTTTTTTTTTTTAATCAAATAAAATTATTCTTTTCACTTGAACAGCATAATTTCATGGTCATTTCTGTGGATGGCACTCATACAAAAATAAAACCCAAACCTGACAGAAACTTGGCTTCCTTTATTCTTTTACTTGTTCCTCTCTTCCTTAACTTTTTCCTTCCACCAGGAAAGGAAGACACCACCCAGGGAAAGCAGGCATTGATGGAATAGATCAAAACCTGGAAGAAGAAATAAAAAAAAGAAGCCAAGCTTAATTTCTACTGGAAACCTGAAGCTTAGACAGGAAAGGATGTAAAATATAGTGGTTTTTTAAAGGAGTGAAAAGGGAGAGACAAATGCCTTAGAGTTAGGAATATGTGTCAGCCAGCCCCACCCTGCAAAACACCCCATCTCCCTCTGCTGAGGTGCCAAATCTGAGAAAGGAGTAAAGATCTCCAAGCTGTGACCAGGACATGGTGGCATGCTTCCTGCAACAAAAGCCCACAGAGTCAAGGTGGCATGGAGGGTCAAGCTGGGGAGAGAAGGGCAGGAGGTATCTAGAGAGGCTCTCCGGGCTGGTGCCTAGAGGAGACAAGTCTGGATTGCGCCAACTCTGGCCCTGTGCACTGGAGGGGACTCTGGGAGGGGAAGGGGCCATGAATTTCTGGGATCTGGGTGGGAATGGCCCCAGGTTGGCATCCGACTGTAAAGAGGGAATTGAGGTGGGGAAAAGGTCTAAGTCCATTCACACCTAGCAAATCACTTTCAGTGTCATGCCCCCAATCCTCACCCAGGTGTCTGAGCCAACTGCGGTGGCTTTGAGTCAAGAGGACAAAAGCTTCTCGGGCTGTTGTTTCACCGTTTGGTTGAAATCTTCCTCTTCTGCCTTCCTGTGGGAAGCACTTGCCCTTGAGTTTGTGGAGAGACCTCCCCAGGCTGGGTGTTTGCCAGGACATCCAGGACACCATTCCTGGGAGTACCTACGGTCAGCAGTGCAGCCCCTGCTGCCATCTGAACTGGCACCATCACCCCAGAGAGCAACTGCCTTCCAGCCTGAGGTCTCCCACTGGGCCGGGGGAGGCTGCAGCGTTTGGCTGACAACTCCCTGGTCGTTCAGCCTCATCGCATGCACATCGACTTTACCAGGGAAGTCCCAATTTGTCACAGCACGACCTGTTCAGAGATGCCCGGCCTGTCCTTTGATCCTGTGGCACAGTCAGCACCTACAGAGGCAACAGGCACCTTTGGAAGAAAAGTTTTCCCTGATCCATCTTAGTTGATAACATGTACTCACCAGACACCACGGACTGGTTGGTGTGTCAGATGGGTTTCCCACAGACAGCTAAGATGCAAGCAAACACTTCCAAGTGGTGGTGGGAAACCACTTGCATATATAAATACATACACCTATCTGCAGAGGCCAGAGTGTGAAAACGACCTTTTAAAGCACTTACTGCACTTTTGGTTTAAGACCTTCTAAGATGACATAGCTAGGAGGCCAAGCAACTTGGTTTCTCCTCCCACTCCTTTTCTGTTCGGTTACATGATATGGCTTCCAATTTACAGAACTCTTGAGGGAAATACTCATTTCAAGTCATTTAACAGACAGTATTTCCCTCTCAGGATATGTTGGGCAGAGGGGGAGAAGTAAATTACATATACAAACATTTCCATTTGCACAGAACATTTCTTTAAAATATAAGGAATCTGAGTTGCTGTTACCTGATTGCTCTTTTTAGATCTAACATTGAACTTGAAGTCAATCAAAACACTTCCAAGTGTAAGCGTTAAGAATGACTTCTTCCTGCAGTAAACATATCCTTACCCATCATGTAACATTATGGACAATGCTCTGATGCACCTGCACACAGTGCTTTTCAGAAGACCACAGAGCAGAGCACTCCGCTCTGGGGAGGGGACAGCTCTCCTGCCTGTATTTAATTTGCAGCAGCTCACTTACCACTAAATGCCTTTGTGCACTGCCTGGCAGCCCAGAGCACGGCTTCTGGTGGCCAAGGCCAGGCTGATTTTGAACCAAAGTTGCAGAGGCCTTCTTCTGTCTATTGTATGCTTTTCCTTTTTAACTTAATAATTGCTTTGTGTCCAAGAAGAGCTGTAATTTCATGATACTGCCCACAGATCCTGCACTGCCAAGGGTTATTCAAGTACTCAGTAAGTCATAACAATAGGCAGAAGTAGTGGCCTGGGTGCTCTGCACACACAAACCTCTGCTGAGTGTCACCACATCCTTTCCACAGTCTGTCACGAAGCACTGAAGGGAAGAACTGACTGCTCCTGTCAGGCCCCTCCACGTCTGCCCAGCACCGAGCACAGGGCAGCCCCATACATATTTCTCCACTATCTGAGCTTGATGCACACATAAAGGTGGAATTATCTGGTTCTTGCCCTTCAAGTTGTCAAACCCAACACATCACTGACTGCAAGAGAAGGCAGACGGAGCAAACAGCGGGTTGGAATCTTTTATTCAGTAATCAGTCCTGCTATGTGGGCAGCATCTTAGCAACTGGAACCCGAGTATGCAAAAATACCGAGTTTTCATGTGAAAAACCAGACAGTATAAAATATTCCAGTATTGCCTCTTAGAACCATTATTTCAATAAAATCCCTGTTTGAAAGGCAACATGCTTATTTATTTTGTTTGCTTTCTATTCTCAACCCCTCCCCTGAAAAAAAAAAAAAAAATAACGTTGAGACAGTAACCCTTCTTACCCCCACATTACCCACACATGTTGCAGGGAGAGAAATACTACATGAAAACCCCTCCTGATTTCCAAAGGTTTATTGAAGAACATTCTCCCAGCAGTGTCAAGCGCCAAGAAGACGTAGATTATTGTGACACCGAGCTGTCCTGATGTTCTACACACCGCAGACAACTGTGGTGCTACTGAACTCTGATGAGAGGCTCCGTCTCCTGGACAAGCCACCGAAGAGCTTCGTGCCGGCCTTGCCTCTCCAGTTCTGCTCCAATTACTTCCCTGCACTTCTGATGATAGTCGTTCACCCAGTTACACTAGAGAAAGGGAGGGGGTATGACATTCAGTATAAATGCAGAAGAGTTGGTGTCCTTACAAGTTGTGCACAGCCAAGACATCTGTAGGCCCTTGTGGTCTTTGGGATCAAGCTGTTATGCTGGGAAGGAATCCTGTCCCGAAGAGACAGACCTCTCATATATGGAAGTGATTTGTAAATTTGATGAGGGTAGGAACTGAAGCAATTCATCCTGGGTTTTCAGAGGAGCCAGGTTCAGTTCAGCTATGGGTATTTAAAGCCTCTGCAAATCGGTGCCTCCAGCAGATCAGAAGAGCTACCTTGGCACAGTCTAGTAAATAGCTTTGCAAATCTGTAACTGAACAATGCAGCCCTGAGACACAAGCTGCCCTACTGATCTGAACAGTAACCTTACAGCAGATATTGGTACTCTTCACAGTCCTCTTCAGAAAAAGGAAATGCAAATAGGACTACCATTCAGAAAAGGAGGATGGGTTGAGTCAAATTAAGGAGTATGATAGAAAAACAGGATGAAAGACGTCACGGTGAAGGTAGTGGGAGACCTAAACAGAAAGTTTAGAGTATGAAACTATTCAGGAAATAAATGCCCCTGAGCAGATATCATTGATGTCTGCTCAGACTCTGGATGTACTGCAGAATGTGGTGTGGCTGAATGGGACTGGTCACAAGTAGATACAGACAACAACATGGGACTGTCATTGCTATAAGTCTCTGGGGAGACAGCACGATAGTCTGACAGAAGCAAATTAAGGCAGGAGTAGGAAAAGACAAGAGATGATAGCAGTAAATACCATATCAAGGGAACTACCAAAACAACATCATCGGAGGGGTCCTCGCTGCCTTCATCACAGAATAAATTAGATTGGAAGGGCCTCTGGAGAGCTCGTCTAGTCCACCCTCCCACTCAAAGCTGGATCAGGTTCAAAATTAAGTCAGATTGCTCAGAACTGCTCTCTGGATCTATGAAATGGAACAGAGGCCAGTGGTTCTTGTAAACAGAACAGAACAAGCTGGTCCTAGTGCAAAGAAGGCAATGGAAACCTACTGTTTCACTTACCTCTTTTTGTGTCAGCAAATTAACATCAATCATTTTCGTCTGGATCGGAACCAGTGTTAATGGTTCAAAAGTCAGGCTCCCTCTGTTTTTGAAATTATACTGCAGCAGAAAGACAAACAAGGTTGTAAATTTTTAGAAACAGCTCTAGACAGATGACACTTACTCCTTGGCTCATGTCATCACTACAGAACGACCCACGTAACATTCAGATGAGAGGGTAGCAACTTACAATAACATTTTTCTTACAGTTCAAGCAAATAATCTCAATATAAACCTTAGTTATTTAATTCACTGGTTACTTTCCAGAGGCCATGTCCCAGATCACAGTTATACAGGACTCAGCTTGATGACTATATGGTAACCCAGCCAGACAGCAATTATAATGTCAAAATCTGTCTGTAGTTTTGTTTCTACTGCCACTGTGCCCCCATTAGCAAAGCGGGGTTTTGGAGACCAGGAGTCTTGAGTAGGATTCAACTGTCTGCAGCATGGTCCCACCTCAAGTCCCAGTACATAAAGTTTTACAGCCAGTGAGTCACAGAGAAAGGAGTATCATGAGCAGGTCATTCACCTTGGTTTCAGCAGGGATCACAAGGACAACATTTTCTATTCGGATCCCAAAGGACCCATCTTCATAATACCCAGGCTCTGCAGAAACAGACAGTAATTAACTAAGCCACATAGATGCACTGTGCTAATACTTACTCCCTATGGCTAAACTTCCCCTCCATGGCTTTAGTCCACTGAAGTCACTAAGCAATCTTGACATCAGGCATCCACAAAGGCAAACAAATTTCTGACTCTACTTAATCTGCACAGAAGCCCCGAGCAAGGTGACAGCAAAAGTTCTCAAAGGAAAGAGAAACAAGACAGACAGCCCTTGAGCTCAGAGTCTCCCTGCAAGTCAAGAAAGAGCACAGAGAACATGTGTTCCAAATATCAGAAACTCTGAAAATATTAATGTCTTTATGAAAGGCAGGTGGGTAACCCCTTCCTCAAAAAACTTAGTTTAGAGAGTGCTCCCCTGATTCCCTGAGAGGACTTTGCAGCCCTGAAGAAATGTAAGTCTCTCAGCAAACCCCAGCAGGCTGTTAATTTGATACTGGAAGAATAAGGCATGTAAAGATTTAACAGCTGCCTTAAATAGCCCATAGCAAAACCAAGATGAGCTCCTGAAAGACTGGTGTCCACCTTGTACTGTAGCCAGCTCTTCCACTGCAGAATGGCAGGCAGCATGCCAGAGCTGGGCTGGTCAGCAGCACAGATCCACTGAGCTTTGCACTGTAGAAAGCAGGAAGCAGGCCTGCAGCACCAGGCTGCAAAGACACTTTATGGAAGGCAAAAGAGCTAAAATAAGGGTCTGTCTTTACCTAAAGAGCTTAAATGACAAAATAACAAGCTCAGGAGGCAGGACCAGAGCTTATGATCCCTCCTTTCATTTAAACCATTGTCAGACTTATTCTCTCTGCATTTTAAAGAGTTTAGTCCCTCTCCCGGTAACCAGAGAGAATCACCAATGCTAAATACCATCAGAGACGATCATGCCAGCCTCCAAGGGCTCGTCTGCAAAGGTTTTGTAGCTAATGCCACAAGGACCCTCATGTACGTTTAGGAAGGAGCCAACTCCATGTCCTGTCCCATGCAGGTAATCCAAGCCACAGTCCCACAAGGCAGAGCGGGCAAAGGAATCTAGAAGGTGACCTGGAGGGGAAGAGATAGACATGGAGAGAGAATCTGATCAAGTCAGGCTGCCTCAGAGACACTGATAATCACACTGAAGGCTCAAACCTGGAAAACATGCCAAAAAACCCTAAACAAACGAAACCACTACCACCCCCTCAAAAAAACCCCATCACTAGCCAAAGAAAGCAAGTCGTTGGACTGTCAGAAGTTACAGAACAGATTTGGCAAACCTGACATTCAAGCCCTTTCCCAACCAAAGAGCCCATCTCTCTCTCCTGTTACACAGCACTTCAGAAGATGGTCTGAAACAGAAACATTGCACTGCTGTTTGCTTCACTGGGGTTTTCAGGAAATAATCTAGTGGTTAAATGTCCCACAGAGAATTCAGTACCCTTCTTAAAAGTAGCTGCACAAAAAGAACTCAAAGTAGAAGACCTGCCAATTGTATTTGGTGCACTAATCAGCCAGACTTCTTGCCTGGATGGCCTGTCATTTCAGATTGTTTCAGTCAGAATGCAGAGAATGTGAATACCAAGCCCATATGTTCAAGTTCAGACACCCTCCGTTTTCAGTTGGGGTTTCTTGTACCACTACGCAGCTGCTTTTTCCCCATCTACCCTAGAATGCAAATGTAAAAAGAGGCATCTTTGTGTAAGGTGTATGACGAGGGAGAAAATAGTTTTGCAACAAATTCAACAAGGGTGAACGTATGTCTCAGCTTCTCTGGCACAAAATCAAAACAGTTCCTTTGTGTGTCATTTTCCCATGCTGCTCACTGATAAAAGAGATTCCACATTAACTGGAAGACAATCAGCCAGCCCTTCTGAAGCTGGAAAGTGACCTCTCATTTTGTCAGAGCCATGAGTAAAGCTTAAAGACAACCTCCAAGCACAGAAAGGCCACAGATGTGTTAAGAGTGCCATTGACTGATGAGAGTCACCATCACCCTAGAGCCACAGCACTCTGAACACCCTTCAGACTTCCCCCCTCAGAATTGGTTGCACAGAGAAAAGACATCAGTAATCCAGAATCAAAAATGTTGCGATGGACCAGTTACATCAACACCTGCCCAACATATCTGGACCTGTCAACCGTAACGTTGCTCTCAGACCACCGAACGGTTCTTCAGAGGTCACTGCTGTGATCAAAACACTCCAACTCATCAACCTACCTTTGGTTCCATTTGGGAAGATGGCTGCACTCACAGCTATATGTCCCTTCAGGACATAGGTGAAGCATTCCTGTCAAAGAAATGTGTGCCATAAATAAACAGGGAGAGGCAAAACTTTGTCTTCCCCAGGAATGGGAAGAAAGACTGCATCTTGTAGGAAATTGAAGAGGAACTGGGAAGACTTGCTCATAGTCTCCCATGGCTGGCAATGTCAATGCAAACCATGAACAGAGAATGTTTAAATTACTCTGAAGATCTTTCTCCACCAATTATGGAGTGTCACAAACTCAGGCTGCAGGTTTAGCAGCAGGATTCACCTGACTGATTTTCTTTGTGGCTGTACTCTTACTTCCTGAGCATACCCTACAGCATATTTTCATCACTGAGTGAACTATAATGACGAAATCAGTTTTAATTAAAGAAGTAATTTAAAACAAACAAAATTACATTGTTGAATTTCCAACACAGACATTCTCAGGTAAGTTTTTGATATGGTACACTAGACACAAACCACTACTGCAAGCCTTGCATTAGACACTGAGCTTTGCACTAAATTAAACTCTCCTAACTCCCATGTTGGACAAGCCAGTAATGTTTATCCTCAGCCTGCTGATTTTATTATTTCTTGTTAGACATTTCTTATTAGACATGTATGAGGGGTGCATTTTAAGATAGAAAGGTGTCATTATCTAAATCATTTGGTTTATATTTTGGAAGTCTGAAGTCTGACAGCCTCCCTTTCAGTCTTTATCAAAATGCTGTCACATATTACTAAATAAATGACACTTGATAGAGCACTTTGACTACACAGCAGTAGGACACATTACTAATTTAAGTATCTCTAATAATAAGGGTCAGATTGCAAACCATACTGAGATGCCAACTTACTTTTTCATAGGCTGATGGTGTGCCAAAATGCATTGTCCTTGTCACATCTGTTGTACCATCTCTTCAGAGGCAGACAAAGATTCAGGAAGCAAAGGGATGGGGTAAAAAGAAAGATGGAAGTCAGAATGCACAGAAAATCCAGTCATGCTGCAGCAAACCAATCAAACTCATAAGTGGGTAAAGTCATCTGATCTGTGCTACACAAGACTTATGATGTAACAGTTTCTAATCTCAAAAATTCCTGAACACACATGTCCCAGATGTAGCAATAATGACTTACAATTCAAAATGTTATCCTTCATCCATAAGCATCCCAAAGCTCTTCGCAAATTAGAATCTAAACTGCTCATAAAAATCATGTTAATTTGAAGTTTAGCAACTGGTACTTTCCCATTGAGACCAGAACAAAGAAGGCCAAATTTAGTCTATCTGCATGGAAGATGATTCATTAGCAGCTTAAAAACATATACTTATCCACAAATGACCGCTACCAGCTCAGACAAGATGGAAGTGTAAAGGGGTATAGTGTCCCCTTCACCCTCAGGATGTCTTGTGCTAAGATTTCTAGAAGTTACTGATCATTTGGACAGGGGTTAGTCTGAGACATCAGAAGCCAGCTCTACGTTCTTTCTACAAATACAGTTTTGAGCCTGCCGTCAAAAACACAGAGGGTCTTGAAATAATGAGTTCCCTTTGAAACACTCACTCCTGTGCCTACACTTCTCCCCAGCACACACAGGCTATGGTCACAAAGCACTCGCAATTTAACTTCTCAGCAGGGACAAGTGGAGCATCCCTATCACAATGATGTGGTAAGTGCCACTGAGGTCCAGCTTATATTGTATTCAAAGGGCTGTTTTTCATAGTGGCACTAAGGAAATCGTTAATTAGGCCATCAGAGGGGAGGAAAAAAGATCTCCTTGTAAAAATCTTATCAAAGGATGCCTGTATGGTTCTTTTTCAATGCTCTTCCTGACTAACATAACAAAAAGGCATAGCTCTAGAGACAAAGCCCATCTCAAAGGAGCAGACAGGCCTGTCCTGCATCTTTCTGAACAAGTCACTTCTCATCTACACTGGCTAAAAACATCACTACTTTCATTCTCCACGGAGTCAGAGTTCCACAGTAAACAGCTGCAGAGATTGAGGCCACTGAATGGCCCTGTCAAAACAGCACTGAGTGAGTCAACAGACATAATGCCTTTCCAAAAACACACCTGAAACCCAAGTGGCCAAGTGGGATGAGACACCTTGCCTCTAAAGACAAAGAACACCACAGGACAGTGCTGTCCTGATCCTTTGCCCCACCTTGTTCTGACCTCAACATCAGTCAAATTTGCCCACAGGGCAGATCCTGGCAGGGCAGGTGCCTCATTGAGCTGTGCAGGCTGCTGTGCAGGAAGCCCAAGGCTAAACCAGGGCAGCCAGGCCTGCTCCCTGTTCCCTGCAACTCAAACACCAATGTCCCAGGTGAGCAGAGATGCAACAGACAGGAACATGAACCACCAGCTAGAGCACAGCTACCATCACACTGGTAATGGGACTCAGATGGGAACTGTGCTTTTAGAACCCATCCCCTACCCCAGACAAAGCTTGTCAGCAGCCTAGTCTGCTGTCCTAAGCCTAGCTCAGGGCCTCCTGTCATGGATCAGTCACCCATTGACTGATGCCCTTGACTATACTCAGAATCCCACAAACTCCCTCCAGAGGGGATACAACGAGCAGGCTCTCTGTGAAATGCCACCGTGCTCAAAACTACACATTGCCATGCTTGCCACAGCAATTGTGAGCTGACCCTGTGGGTGGTCACTGGGAGCAGAAAACACAGTGGTTCAGCACCATTCTTCCCACTCACTTGTACTGTGCTCCCGAGTCCAGGAGGTAGATCTCGTTCACAGACAGCGTTCTGTTGGTCTCAGGAACTGGCCTGTTCAGTTAAACACAAAAGTTTTTGTTCCACAGCATCAAGGTCTCCAGCCCACTTCTGAAGTCCAAAAACCATATTAAGTGCAAGCTTGGATGTGTTGGCTCTGATTTCCTGTGGCAGTGATGGAAATCCCACACATACTGAGCCAGGCATCATACTGAGGAATGTAAACAGCACTACAGTATAAAGAATAGTTTTATTGCTTCCAGAAAAACCCTCAACATTTGTTCCTGAACATATTTCAGAAGAGTTTGCACTTCATACTCATCCTTCCCAGACTTCTACCCCCAAAATAGCCCTCTTCTATGGCCCCTGAGCGGATCAGCATCATAATACATGAATGCTGCCAGCAGGGAGAGATCTTTATTTACTAAGTGTGGAAGCTCTGGTGGAATAAAGCAAGATGGCAATCAACAGCGACTACATCTCCCTGGAGTACTCTGTTGTGACTTCGCAAAGAAGCTAGACAGCTCGTTCCAACTATGTTTGCTGAAGGATGAAAGGAGAATCTGTGTTTCTCTTACTTGTAGTGAATGATGGCTCCATTTGGACCCGTGCTTGATATAGTAGCAAAACTCAATTCAACGAAGTCTTTCTGTTGGCTGAAAGAAAAGATTGTGATCACTACAGCAGAAGCAAGAGGAGCACACCAGGCAGCTGGAGCACCTGGAGTGCCCCATCCTCAATTTCACATCACTTTAGCCTTCTCCTTACCCTTGAAAGCCATCTGGACAAGCACACTCAGGTAGGAGAATTGTACAAATCGAAGCCCTATCCTCCCCTCCATGTGGAAACCTTCTTTCCATCTCTATCCTTTCCTTACAAGCAGAAAATTCATCACCCAGACCACCCCGGGAAGAGATGTCCTGAATAATTTCTTCTTTCTTTCTTATGTACTCAAAGGCATTTCTAGAGGTCCTGTTGATGTACACATGGGAGTATCTCTCAATACAAACAGTGCTCATTCTCCATCAGAAGAGGAGAAAATCTCACTCTTACATCAGCTCCTCCGTGGTAAGAAAGCAACTCTCTCGTACGTTTCCTAACCTGCGACACTCCTCACTGCTACCTCAAGGAAAACAGATAGGATCCAGTGGGCTGGGACTTGTATCTCTCAAGAGACCCAATTCTTCACCAACTCTTTCGGGTGTTCAAAGAAATCTTGTTGTAATGGTTTCTCCTCAGGTAAAATATATCTGCAAGTGAGCTGGATTTCTAAATAATAAAATAAAAACAAAGGATAAAAATGCCACCCAGAAAACATCCTCACAGGGGATTTACTTTTTACCTGCGAAACTCCTCTGCTTTGTCTGCAGCAATTATTTCTGTTACTGTTCCCTTTGGAACCTAGTGGACAAAGATGTAGGTTGAATTAGTACATCAACAAGCAAAGAAAATTCAATATGCTTAAGTGCTGGGCCTCATCTGTGCATTATGAAACCCAGTCTTGAAGTTGCCTCTTTCCAAGTTTTCTGTCCTTATTCCTCAGTAATGACAAACACAAACCTAGCAATATTGTGCAGGGTATGTGAGAAGCAGGATGCAGAGACAGTCACAGCAGGATTGCTGAACCCTGACTAGGGAGCAATTAGGGCTGCATTAACTTCACTAAGATATGTACAAAGGTAGCATCTCACATGGAAACATCTCTTTATAGACAGGTTACACTAAGCTTAGACAGTTGTCTCTAACAGCCCAAGGTATTAGCAGAATTTTTATGCTGTTAAATCAGAAATGGAAGCACTTGCAGGAAAGAAAAAAAAAAAAAAAAAAAAAAAAAAAAAAAGGACATAATTTTACTTTAGGCATTTGATAAATTAAAACCTGTGACACAACTTCCCCAGGACTGGACAAAAGGCAAAGGGGAGCAAGAGCTAGGTTTCACAACCCCCAAGGCAGACTTCCTGAGGTACTCAGACATGTAAAAAGGCACCTTCTGGAAGTCATCAAGCCATCTCCACAGAAAAGTCAATGGACTCAGACATGCAGTAGCACAGAAGCAGCACAGCTTAGTAAATTGCTGTGTAACACCTGGCACTCTGCACCTTCACTACGTACTTCTAACACAGGAAAAACACAACTAATTTGTCTTTATTCCATTTTCACTGCACATGGGCATGACTGTACCTCTCTATTCATAAATGCCAAATCTGTCCATACTGCCAGACAAGACTGATTATCATGAGAATAATTCCAAAGTATTGCACCAAACTGGATATTATTTCATGATTTACACTACCAAACCAGCACAAGACAGTATTAACACTATATTAAATCTGTTCTCACCTGCTCTGGCTTTGGTTTGCGTAAAATGAATGGGAGTATGTTTTCAAAAAAAATCATTCAGCTTGGATAAAAGCATTAATTGAAACCCCCCCCCAAACACAGATAAAACCCCACTTCCCCACTTTTAGCAAAGACACTACAAAGACTATCAAAAAGTTTATAAAGAATTTTACATAGCGATAAAAACTCCAAGTTAAAAAAAATTAATACACTACCTCTTTCTCCAGCCAGTTAAAGAGCTCACACAGGGCAACTGCATCTTTAATCTATGTTAAGAGAGTCACAAGAAAAGAGAATTGAGAAGAAAAAAGATTTATCAAGCCTCAGTATAAACATATTTTGATGCAAAAGAGTTTGACCTGCAAGTTTCAGAAACAAACTAAGAGATGATCCAAGAGGTCTTTCCAGGTTCTACATCCTGTAATCAATACGAGCACTGGAAATGTATCTGGACAATTAAATAAATGTTAATAAAGGTTTACTGCTGGGAATTATCTTACTGCGAAGAATTACCAAGTACTCAGTATAACACTGACTTTGTCTCACACATAACTTTCAAGTATCTTGTGCTTCAACACACAAGATCTTGCATTTTAGACTGTGGAAGGTAACCACATGACGCACCTGGTGATGCAACAGGGTAACATGCACACCAGCACCACAAGGTCCCTGTCACACAGCTTCTGGCTTCCCTCTTGCCTGATGACCCCCCTATTTCTTCCTTTTATCTACATGCTTGCAGTATGCAGGGGCAAGAGCAGGAGACAAGTATGCAAGTGCAAGGCACAGTTTTGTGCTCAGGTGGCAGGTGACAAGTGTCTCTGTTCAGCACAAGTACATTTACTTTCCCTTAACAAGCAGAGAAGGAAAAGCACTGAAATAGAATGTAGCAGTTCCCAAGAAGCTAGCAGAAAATATGGGACAAGTCCAGAATTGCCAGCTCTGCTTTAACTGGCACATTTCTCCTGAAATTTTGAAAACTCCTGCTTGAAAATTAACAGGAAATAAACAAGAGAAAACTTCAGCTCCACTATGAGCCTGTTTCACAGGCAGCTTCTTTGCTCAAAAATATGAAGCTTCCTGGGAAATCAGTCTCATTTCCAGAGTGTCGTGATGATGACACAAAACCAGAGTGCTTTGAGGACACTGGCTGCTTCTGAGTATCTTGGCCTGTGTTTTGCACCATGTGTTGAAGAACTTCTCTGTGTTCTGTAGGCTGTGTTTATTCAAGTGATAACAATTTGAAGACTCCACTCAGAAAGATAACAGAACTAGCAAAGGGGAAAGAACATCCCTTTGAGGGCCCATACTCTAAACAACACTTCTCAAGTCTGCACTGTCATCCAATAGAGCAAGGTTGGTTCCTCACACTATTACAAATGTTGTTCTTCACTCCAAGGGAATATTAAGCAAGCAAAAAAAACTGCTTCAACAGCAGTAGATGTCTGACAGAAAACCATTTTTATCCTGCCATCCAAATTCTTATTTGCTTTTTAATCCAAAACACTAAAACTGAAAGGAAAATGTAATTTCTTTTCCTAAACATAAAGTAAACTTCTTGCCATGTGCAAGGAGGCTCTCAAGACTTCACTTACATGTGCTCTTCTCATGCCTTCTGTTTCCGATGCATTCTTCACAGCTTTTGCAATGCAGATGGGGGTATATGGGGTGAGGTATCGGTAAGCCTGCAGCAGAAGGACAGGGATTACTTGTGGATTAGTCAGACTACATAATCCTTCAGGTTTAATAACTCAGCCTGGCCACAATTTGTATTTTGGCAGTCTGTCTCAACCTTCAACGCTGTGAGATACTGGTTGCCAGTAGTCAGTTAAGTGCACTGGGGAAAAAAGAGGAAAAGCAGTCCCTGACTGAAGGAAGAACAGCCACAGGGAAATCCAGGCAACAAAAGGGTCAACAGCTTGTCACAAAGCAGGGTGAAGATTTGGATATCCTAAATACTCTATCAATGTCCAAGCCATGGGTTTCCTGTTGCTGATGTACACTAAAGAAAAACAGCCAATAGGAAACATCAATCCCAGTGATTAAGGTGGAATTTAGGCTGTGCAGACAGACCTAAAAAGTCACCTTGGCTTGTTAGCTAACTGTCCCCCCAAGTAGCAGGGAGCAAAGGGTACCCAGCCCAGGTACCAAGCACTGGAGTTGAACCTGGCAGGCTCCTCAAGCCTCTGGCTCCTTCAGCACTGAGCATCACCGCTTCTAATGATCAGCAGCTCTGACAAACACATGAAAGGCCTTTGCAAAGCTGAGCTTTTCTTACTGTCCACCTCTGAAAGAAGCTTACATCAGTGCATTGAAACAAAGGTTTCATGTGCCTGGATGGGGTGGCCCTGCATTAAGAACTAGTAAGTGATCCCTTACCACAGTGCACTTCCCCAAACATCAGCTGTCCTTAGATCAGCAGGGATGCTTGGCTGGTTCTAAGCATGTCTTCAGAAATTCACCAACTGAGATGACTTGCCCAAACCTCATCACACTTGTCCTCAGAAGAAGGAACAAAAATGAAGTCTTTTGCCCCACAGTTCTCTGCTCTACCCATTATATATCAGGAGATGGGATGAGCACCTACACAAGCACAGATGAAGCAATGTGCTGTTTTCCTTTTATCAAGGCACGAGCATACAAATAACCACCACTCAAATTCATGGGAAAGGCCTGGTAGACCCTCAGCAAAGACCAATTTCACACAAATCCTATAGGCTTACAGTTTCCAAATTCTTAAAAATAGCAAAACAATTACACTACATTATGCAGAAACTAAAGTACTGAAGAAGCCACAAGAAAGTCAGGAAAGTCCTTTTATCAAATTCAGAGCAAAACTTCTGAACGGTCAGATTCTTAGATTGGCTTGCATTTAGAGATACTATTATCTATATATTATATTAATCTTCTGTGAAAAGTATATTTACATGCCGCTGTAGGCAAATCTATAAAGAGTTTGCAGATTTGCATTTAATAATGGATTGGATTTTTCCCAGTGTCAATATTTGGCTTTGATGGAGACAGACAGTAGATGGACCTCCAGCACTGGGGTTCTTCAAAGCACCCCAGACCAGTTGCTCAGCTGGTGTAAAGTGGTGTAGAGTTGGAGAAAAACACTCAGCATGAGGAACTGGGAAACCTTTGGCTCTCTCAGTGACTAAGTGGTTTTTAATCAAGACATTACAGCCCTTCCTCTCCTGCTTTCTATTGCACAGAGCTCCTTGAGGCAGGGACTCTCCCATTGCATACAGAGGGCATGTAGCCCTAGAATGACTCAGTATCAGCCAAAACTTCCAGTGCTAACAGGGTAAATAATGTCACTACAGCTCATTACATTCCTTAATTTAGGCCAGACGTGCTGTACGTCTCCATATGGATGCTCTGTGTGAATCATCTACAGCAACTTACCCAAACTGGAGTTAGTCCATTGATTCCAAATACAGGAAGGGGTATTCTACTCTGAAGTCAAAAGAACAACAATTTATCCTGAATGCTCCATAGACTCTACGCTTTCTGCTACCACAAACAAGAGAGCGGGCAAAATGTCAGCATTCTGTATTAAAATTCCATTTGCACCTAGAAATGGATCGACAGCGTCAGGAGATTTAACCCTGAGCAGCAACAAAAAACTGTTTATCTTGCTCACGTACATGTCTTGCTGTTTTTTAAAACACAAAAAAACCCACACAAGGCAAACAGCACATTTCCTTCAAGTCAGTGCAAAGGCACAGAGCGCCACATCCCGTATTAAAGGGGATTAAATTAAATATAAAGGGGATTTCATTACACTGAAAGCAACAAAACTTTTCAGATCTGTTTGGTTTTATTACCTGTCCTAATGCACCAAGTACAATGATGTTATTAAGCTACATAAACAAATGTCATCACTGGAGAAAAATATGCATGGTTCCTGCTATTTTGGCCATAAGAGCTGAAGATCTTAAGCAGAGATTTTCGCTGGTATCAAACTAGGGCAGCCTGGGGATACACACACAGACCCTGCTCTTGGGATTTTGTCCTTTGGAAGACACAAAGCTGAGACCACTCTTAAAATTCTTGTATACAAAAAAAGCCTTCAGGCCCCATGAGTTAGCTCTGTTGTCACAGGTATGACTGTATCATACTCACACCTACAGCACAACCATGCGATATATGAAACAGGCAGGAGATATCTGCCTGCCTGGTGGAGGCAGAAACCTGGTGGTGGGTGAATGCAGACTTACAGCCAAACACTTTTTACAATTCAGTTCTTCCTTCAGCAGCCCCTTCATCTGAGCCCTGCAATTCTCATGCAGGAAGCTTAGACTGTTCAGTAACCCAGCACAAGCACAGATTCTGTTCAGCAGGTCTGGTCTTTCAAGGCAACATCTGGAAAATACCCACTGGTCCCTAACTCCCAATCATATTTACTCACAGTATCTGTTAGGTACTAGGTATATCTGTAAACTAGATGGCATTCCAGAGAATGAGATCTCTAGCAAAAAGAGGTATACACAAGACACATGGAAATTTATCCGTAGTTGCTGCTGTGTCATTCCCCAAGTATCTCCTACTGGAATATTAGGTGGACTGCAGGACTCCCCAGACAGCCAACTTCAAGTACAAGGGTAATATAGAGCAAGTACAGCTGTACAGAAATTATTCTGATGCTACAACTGTCCCTCAGCAGATGCACTCACTGCGTGGACAACCAGTGCCTGCAGGTTATCCATGTCCTCACAAGGTTCCCTGCTGCACAACTCTGTTGCCCTGTCCCTCCTGTTTTCGGTACAAGACGTCACATATTGCCTGATATCCTCTAGCCACTGAAATAAATAAGGGGAACCATCTTCAGACATTCAGATGAAGGCAAGTACCCCCTCCCCAAAGTCCTGCTGAACTTCCCTGCTTCAGTTTCTGCAAGTTTCCAGCTCTTACTGCTGGTCCACATAAGGCTGATGCTCTAGCCACAGGCAGAAAGACCCAGAATGACCAAGCCTCCTCTCTCTCCTCCTCCCCTCTCTCGCTGTACTTGTCTTATCTTAAGCTGACAATTCTTTGGGTAAATCAGCTTAGTGAGTTGGAAGGGCAGCTCCAGCGAGAGCAACCCCAGGATTAACAACCCCTTGATACCTCAGCATGGCTGGATCCCTTCCACACAAACTCTAGCCTGCATCATGCTTTGTAGAGGAGAAGTCGAGGCCAGCTGCCCTCATTAACACCATTCCTGACCACTCTGAGCAGAGAGGAGAAAAGTGTTTTCCCTCAAAAGGGCCACTAACCTTGGGAATGGCCTCAGTCAGAGCATAGCTGGCTTTGTCACTGAGCCACACTTTCTCCTTGGGTGAGAGGCCTGCACCAACAGCCTGCAGCTCTGACAGGATAGATCCGTAGGGCATCACCTGGATTTTAAACTCAGGCTCCAGGGTGGAGTCAAGCTGTAAGTGCTCCCTCACAGCTGGGTTCGTCATCCGGTCACCATCAATGAAGAGCCTGAGGAACAAATCAGACAAAGCAGATAGGTGGGACCACATCTGACAGTCATTGGAGTAAGGAGGGAAGGAGAAACCATTCTGGTGACATTTCAGGGAGAAAGGAGTTTGTTAATTATGTGCTATACTTTGTCCTATATTGTTTTAACTACTGGCCTTCACACGGCTTAAATCCTGCTTTGAAATTAAGATGTACCACCCTCCTGAGAGCAAAGGTGATGACAACACTTTTGTTTGTATGACACATTCAAAACGGCTGCATCCCATCACTGCTCTTCAAGCAGGAGAGAGTAACAGAGGCAAATAATGGCCATTCTCTAATTTTTAAGGGCAACAGCCAGAAATGGAAAAGCTACTGCTGTTCTAAGTACCACACTTTATCACTTTCACTGAATTGGAGAGTTCAGCTCAATCTTCACATACAATCTGTACTCACCCAGACAGGTTTTATCTCGGATGCATCTAGCTCGCAGCTTGGAGATGCCTCTAAAAGACTTGTGCTTGCTGAGGCTCATTAGACAGGGCAGTCACAGGAAAGAAGCCTCCTGTCATAAGCCGGCCCTGAAACTTTTCTACACAGTCCCTGCAGTTTTGAAGTGACTCATCAAAGACATTAGAGAAAAGTTTTCCAATGTCCAGGCCAGCACTGGCTCTTACCCACATTTCACCCAGGGCTCTGAGGGCCCTCTGTGTTATCTCAGGGTGACAGACAAGAGGGGTCAGCCATCATGCCCAAGGTCACCCTGCAAGTCAGCCGAGGTGCTGAGGAGTGCAGCAGAGCTCTTGGCTGCCTCTCTAGCTCTGATCAAGGGAGGAGAGTAACTAACAATGAAGACAAATGTGCTCAGAGAGGACATTAAGATGCCCAACCGTAGGCGTTTTGAAAAGACAAATGCTTTGCTAGAACAGCTCTCCCACAGAAAAATGCATCTTGGGGGACAGAAGAGGGGAATACAAGCACCTGATTGTGTTCATTCCTATGACGGCGTATGCAAAAAACACAGGATTGTACTCAACATCAGAGCCTCGAAGGTTGAAAAGCCCTGGAAAATAAGAACGCCAAGAATCACAGTCCTGGTTCATCTTTTGCAACGTTAGAGAAAGCCAAAAATAATCTTAGCAAAACACAGTCAACCAATGAGCTGTCACGGGTGCAGGATGTGGGTCCAGCTCCTACCCAGCTGTCCCACGTTCTGCTGCTTTTCTGGCAATCCTAAATTTTTGCCAGGAGATGGCACCAGAACTGTAGTTTAAACACCCATCGGGCAAGGAAATCAGGGTTTAACTTCTAAAGGAGTGCTGCCTTGGAAGAAAGCAGGTACAGGCAAAAAAGACAAGGACACATGTAAAAAAATTAGTGTTTGCCCTTTCTGGTCTGTGAAATGCAACAAAATCTCACTTCTCAACAGCCAGAAGACTTCAAAGTTTCAATTTATCATTTCATTCCAATCCTTTTGATACTTGAGGGAAGAGAGAGACACCATAGGCAAGACTAAAATACTCCAAAAAGGCCTCTCATTTGGGTGCCTCCAATATCTCAGATTCAGACTGCACAGTTTTAGGTTTTTTTCACAAAGATTTTATCCCACACAACTCCCGGCAAAATCAAGAGGGGAAGTAAATGTTCAGCATCTCCAAACTCCTGATTTTAGGGTCAAATAAAAACCCCAGGGTATCCAATTAGCTGAAATGAGTTACTCAAGGCAATAAGGCCAGCCAGCGGGACAGCTGGGCTAAGAACCAACATGTCCTAAATCACAACCCAGCACTGAATTCATCGAACTGTGCAAATTCTGCCATGCAAGTAAAAATAGAGTTTGATTCTCTCCAGGGAAGGAACAGGTCACTTGAAAGCAGGAAAGAGCCACAAAGAACTCTTTACTGCATGGGTATAAACTTCCTTGCTCAGCCAACTCCCAGTGCAGTAAGGAGGCAACAGGCTCCTCTGTGGCTCTCTTTCTGCCCCCAGAAACTTGTCTGGAGTTTAACACAGTGAACTAAATTAGAGAAAATGAAAGACAACTTCTCTCCCTTCCCCCTTTAGGATAGGAAATCAAACAGGCACCTGGCAATAAGCTTCTCTCATGACCTCCTCTGGTCCATCTTAAAACCCTTGATTCATAACCAAGCTTGGCCTTGCTGGAGACATTTAATCTGAAACCACCTCAGGGCACCAATTTATCATTAATTTAATTGGAGATGCGTCTGAAAAGGTGAGACACACAATCTCTGCTCACGCAAGCCTCCCCAGGGAGGAGTCATATTCACCACTCTCAGAAGTACTTCTTTCATGAAACAAGCTCTTTGCTCAGTGTCCCAGATCCAGGGCAGCCCACAGACCTCAGCAAGCTGGCTTTACCCAGCACCAGAGACGCTGAGCTGGCAGTGCTGGATCTAGGAACACACCACCTTCATTCCCAACTTTTCAGATCAGACAGAGGGCACAGGCATTAGCAGCACTCAACACCCTGCCAGTGTTCCCACTGCACCAGTCTGTGCACTGGTGATTTCTGCGCAAAGGCTACACAGCACTAGTAACAACAGTCCCAGGAAAAACATTGCTGTTTCTGGCCATTTCCCTTCCTACACACTGGGCTGGAAGCCAGGGTGGGCAGACCTAGTCATCCTGGGGCCCCAAACACAGAGGGGACTCTAGTGGGATCCTGGGCTGCAATGATCTAGAAATACAAGTTGAGCCCTGACTGACTTGTTTTAATCAACGCATTTGCCAAACACTGGAGAGGTAGAGACTGACTTACAAAGTCGTGACAATTAGGGAGATTACTGTAAAAGCTGTGTACCCCACCCTTGCCTTATGTATACAAAGCCACATGTTGCTTTGTTTATAACCCAGCCTCCACAGCAGAAAACAGTCTCCATCCTCCCATTGGATGAGGCAGCATCAGGATATTTTACAGCCAGAAAATCTCACAGGTCTTTTTTTTTCCCTTCAAATTGCCTCAGGCTTTATATATAACCCTCCTTTCCCTTTGCCTGGGCTGTTTTTCAAAGGTGGTGATTTGCTCCATTTCCTGGGCCAAAAATGTACCGAGGAGCTGCACTGGTGTAATAAGGCACCGTACAGAAATACAGGCTTGCTGTTTGTGACCTGTTACCACCACTGCACTTGATACAAGTTAACTGACCTCTAACAAATACATTGGCTGTAATAAGCACCTCTCACCCTGGGAGGGTTCTTTCTTTCCAAGACAGAAAGGGGATTTATTTTGTAGGAAGAACTGAGAAAGGAGATACAAACACTCACATGCTACTTCATCCAAGGCTGTTACCACAAACCACAGGACTTTCCTCTCAGCCATTTTTGAACGGAGGGCTACAATTTTGTCTCTCCAGCTGACCCCTGCAAAACACAACATGAAAAGCTACAGTCACCAACTTTACTGGGAAAGATGATGTAAACACAAACCAACACACTGGATTTTGCAGGGACCCAAAATACACTGTGCTTGTGTTCCTTACTCCTTTCTAATAACTGATATGAACTATCTCAAATGAGCTGTCCTCCAGACATCCACGGATTTGTTTTGAAGTTATCTAGCCTCTAGCAAATGGCGATTTGAAGTTTTGAGGACAAAGGCATCATTAGCTGAGGTCCAATCACCTTCTTGACCTATTCATTGTGGATCATATTGTGCTGCAGCAGTGTTTTTCTCACTACTTTGTAAAAGGAAAGCAAAGGGTGATAGAACAGCAGAAACAGTCCCTGTCTATCGGAAGTTAAGTTTCTCACCTGTATAACTCAGGTCAAGCGTGATGAGAGGCTTACAGGGGCGCTGAGGACAGTCTGTCCAGATTGTATCGATCAGGTTTTCTTTGATAGGCACAAGGTCGTGGCCGGCACTTCTCAAGGCTTTGGACATCCTCTTCCACTGGTCTGCCAAAGGGAAAAGAGTCAAGAGCGATGGCTTTAAAAAACACACACTGGTTCAGCAATGGCCCCATTCACAGGGGGCAAACTCAAGAATCTGAGTCTCCTCCTTTCCTTCCAGCCTCTCCTTCTTCCCATTCCCTTAAAAACAAAGCAGAAGCTATTGCAATTACAGATCCACAAATGGAGTCGCTACAGCCAGCAGCAGGCACAGAACCTTGCAGCTCTGGAGCCTCATGCTTCAGTTGAAGAACTGCTCCATCTGGGAGACAGAAGTCACTGGAAGAAGCCACCCCAGAGGTTGTCGTAAAGGTGTCCTCTACCCCAGAACCATGCTAAATCTAAGCTAGATGAGAGGTGAGATGGGCTTCACACAGCCATGAGACTGATCCTTCACTCATCTCAATCAAGCAAACGTCTCTCCTTGCCTCCAGTGACCTTTGGATTGGGCCCCATGTTCTGAAGCATGAGCAGATGGATACTCATTCACCTGATATAAATGGTACCTCTCCAGGAATATGCTTCCTACAGGGAAAGCTGCAGAGATGCCGAGACCACCAAGTAGGAGTAGCAGCACGAGTTCTGCCTGAGTGTTCTGGCTCACAGGCTGGCCATGGCATTCAGCCATTTTGCACTGAAGTGCCCGTGACAAGCCACAGCACAGACAAAAGGAGGTGAATTGGGACTCTGCTTTTCACATAAGGTCACTGCAGGCCCATGCAACGTAGTAGTTCTCGTGCAGTGAGTAGTTCCCATCCCTTGTGTTTTGGGGTCAACGCACTGCTGTGGAGCTCTCCTGATACAGGCTTAAAACCAAAACCCAACCTGTTTTGTGTAACAGTTTAATCAACCACCCCATCTGGGCTGAAACATGGTTAGCTACATACTATCACACAATAGCTTAGCCAGAGAAGCAAGGAAGCAAAATCTAGTTGCCCAACCCAGCGTTGTAAAATAAAGTAAAACCAACCAGCCGGAATAATGAAAGGGTCCACTCCCACCTTCGAGCCTTCTGGGAGGACACTCACTAGCCAATCCTCTTGAGTTGGTGTATCTTTCAGACCTCCATGGATTTAAAAAAAAAAAAGAAAAAAAGAGGTTCAAAGAAGCAGTCATACTGAAGGGTTCCCACACTACCCAAAAAGTCCAGGCTAAACACATCAGATACATCTACTAATGAATGTCTAGACGCATGGGCAAGAAGAGTCACAGGACACTAAATCAGGAGCAGCACTGTATCCAAGATGTCCCTAAACCCCTGCATGATGGGGTACCCCTGCAGCTCAAGCTGTAACGTGTGAAGTGACCCAATAGCCTGTGATTGTTTATCAGTGGAGCAGTATCCCAATCTCCTGCATACCCATTTTCATGAGTGTCCAGTTGTTATCCATTTGATGTGCAGCTTGCAGGAAGTAGCGTCCATCTGTCCACATGGCTGCATGCTGTTCAGTTACTATGGCAGTACCTGGGCAGGAAGGCAAAAAGGTGCAGATTTAGAGGTGGGCAGCCACCGTGCAGAGAAACAGACAGCAGGGGGAGTGTTTCAAACGCACCCTAGTTCTCCAAAGGCAGCTCTGCTCACTATTCAAAAGATAATCCAGTTTCAGTGGAGATGCTCACCGTTTTCCCTCCACTATAACATTTCAAATTCTAACAGAGACAGTATGCACAAGGATGCAGCTTAATGAATTGCTTCAGATAAACTGAACTTAAGCATATCTTGGCCAGTCAGTGGAACTGGGTAAATGGTTCTTTCTAAACCTTCTGAAACGGAGACTGTGGTCTCCACTTGGCTGTTGTCACAGTAACACATACTATACATCCTCAGACTCCATCCCACCTTCTTATGGGCAGGAAGCCTGGGCTGTGGCTATCCACAAAAAACAGCTGTTACTAGGCTTGCAGACATGGGTATCACTCCCATCTGTCAGCTGCACAACTTTCCCAAATGTTACAGCTCTAGGAGAGATGGATGAACAGGAAATATGAACACAAACTTCTGCAGGTTTCAGTGGAATGGGACAGACAGCTGAGAGGCACTGACATCTCAGCAAGGCACTCTAGCTGTCTTGCCCTTGGTGATTCAAAAAAAGCCAAACAAATTCAAGTCTTTTGAGTCTCTGCATCTTGACCATACTCTCTGTCACCAGAAACTAAAGCCCAGATGAGCAGAGCAGAGTTTCCAAATATGAATACATTGTCTTCTACCAAACTCCCCCAACACAAGCCCCATTTTAAGCTGCTTTGGCCTGAAAAGATGAAGAAACACAAGGTGAGGCCCTGTGTGAAACTTCACTGAACACTAGGCTGGGAATACAGACCTTCCAAGTACAAAACAAGGGCCCAAAATAGAGAGGAAGGTTATGAAGAGGCCACGCAGAAGGCATGAAATTAATACAGGATTCATGTTACCCATTAACAGCAGCCCGCAGCCCTGGATTTATCACCTTCCACATGAGGTCCCAGACTGGTTCATAGGAACTGATGAATGGACCCTCCAAACATAGGTAGCAGTATTTATTAAACCAATTTACAACTGAGGGGAAAAGACCTCAACAGACTAAAGTGACTTCCAGCAATCACACAGGCAAAGTAAGTTGCAGAGCTTAGGGTACAGCTAGGGTAAAAACTAGGTCTCTTGAAACACAGACCTATCCTACAGCCAAGAAAACATCCTGTCTCGGCAAGATAAGCAAACTTTTCCACAGCATTCAGTTTCCAAATGCAGTGTTTCTGGCCCTGACTCTGTTTAAACAGAAAGGCTAGCTGAAGTCCGTCTACTATTCACCCAGCCCAAATGGGCAATGTAAAAATCTGTTCATACTGGCTGCACATCAAAAGAAATGACTGTAGGTTACAAGCACCACATTAAAGAGTTAACAGGATTTTACTTTACGAGAGGTTCATTCAGGGGTCAAACATTTTCTGAAAACTTGTTATTGCACTGATATTACATAATTCCAGTGGGTAGCCAAGACATAATTCTGCAGATGCTGAAATAGGAAGAAAACAGTCCAAACAAGCTGGATAGGTTTACTTTTCAGTCCTGCCTCTATGCCATGAATGAGACTATTTCTTTACAAGGGAATTATGTACATTAGCAAGAACCCAACTTCTGGAAAGGTACCTGCAGAGCCATCAAATCCAGAGATGAACGCCCGTCTGCAGTCACAGGGTGCAATGTACTCGCTCTAGAAAACAAAAGAGGCAGCAATTATTTATAGCAGCAGGGGAAAAAAAAAAATCAGCTGATGACAAATACTTTGATAAGCTTTTTCTCCTAAAGGATGCCATAGAGAGAACAAAATGAGTTAAAAAATACTGGGCTCTACTCCACTGGAACATTTAATCATCTATGATTATATTGTATTTATATCCAACTGGGTTGTTGTTTTTTGGGGTTTTTTTAAGCTGCAGCACTTTTCTCCCACAAAGGTCTGTAAACATTGAAGTGCTTCAGAGTTTGCAGATGTTTATTTCACACTCAGCCTCCCCTTTGGGCAACAAACAAATGCTGTCTTTGAAGCTGCAATGTGAAAGGAAGAGAAACCAGAAGTACCCCTTGATCTTAGAGACCAGAGTAATCAGTGCATAAAATCTGTAAAATTCACTATCTCCAGTGAAGTCCCCTCACTGGCACTTAAAAGAATCCCTTTAAGACTTTCTTTTCCACAACAATGACACTAAAAGAAAATCATCAAGGAGGTAAAACTGTAAAAACTTTAACCCTTAGGACCTTTCATAATTAGATGCTGATCCTCTCACTTCTTCCTTGCTTACTCTAAACCTGACTACACCAGAAACCACCAGACCATGGTTTGGTGGGTGAGAGGGAATCAAAGACTACTAGTCCATCCTCATCCCAAACCCATCACAACCTGTGTTTGTGGACACATCTGTTGGCAGCATTACAGAAAAGTCTGAGAATCCACAGAGAGATGACATCCACAGGAGCTGCCAAATTTAAAAGAACAACTGTACCTTGAAATGGCCCACACACCATTTTTATGGGATCCCACTCTGGCAAGTTCGGAGGCCAGAACTGCTGAGTAGGCCCGTTAATTAACTAGCGCAACTCAGCAAATCGGCTTAATCCAGGCTGACAGCACTGATGTTTGAGCTGCAAAACCCCTGGATTTGTACCTTACAAATGGTCTGAAACCAGTCAGCTCCTCTGCCCATAAAGTTTTTCTACACCCAGCTGTGCTAGGGGCTGAGCTTAGAAATCACAGCCCGATTCTCAGGTGGGTTTAGTTCCTACTGTGATAGATACTGCATTTCCCCATCTCTGGCCAGGGCTATTTTTAAATTACCTGATTGTTAGAAAATACTCCCTTCAAATCTGTTACTCTTCACTGTTCTATAGAAGGCAGCGGGTTCAACGCACAGAGGTGAGCAAGAAGCACAAATTGCAGCACCTGGAACCAACCCTTTATTTCTGCTCCCAATCACCCCATGGTCAAAACCCCTCCAGAAGAGAAATGTCTTCTCCCTCCTGGGAGATGCCCTAGGCAGCAGCTACCAACCATTCACCACTAATGTTTGAAACTGAGCCTTGGGACAGCAAAGCCCATGGCCCAAAAGAGGATCAGGCCGAGTAGTTTTGCTCCTGATTGGCAGGAAAGATTCCTGGGATACGCTCCCAAGAAATTCTCTATTTTATCCACAACTAATGAAAGTTGGCAGAAACGGGGTGGGTATTGAGACCATGGGTGCCCTCATCTCTGAGCCAGTCCAGTTCCCTGTGCCTCTTCCTGTCCAACCCCACAGACTCCCCCAGACTCATGACATACACTCAGCAGCTGTGGGGAAGAGAGGAGTGCCCTCTGCACACCCCTAGCTGACTGGGTGGATCGGCCTCAGCCCACCACAGCACCACCATCACCGCTAACCCCCTTTAAAACAGCTACAAAGGCATCAGCAGATAGAGGGGGCAAAGTCATTCAGGGAACAGAATCAAGCACCCATTTCCCCAGCTGCCTGTCTCACAGACGGACAGAACATGAAGGCAGAGCGATGCCAGGCCTGAGGCGCATTCCCCATTTCAGCATTACCTAATGATTGTTCAGCCTGATGACTGCTACGACTCCCCCTCTCCTACACTTCCCAGCTCAAAGCTTCAACACCATCTTCCAGGGTCTGATACCTAAAGGGGATACTGGAAATCTCCCACTGTGGATCATATCACTAAGTACATCTTAAATCAGACCAGTGATTTCTCTTGCCTTTCTCTTGACCAACTCAGAGACTGCAGGCTGCTTTGTTTGAACAGACAAGCAATCTTGCATTCATAGGAAAGGTTAACACTGAGCTAGCTGCACTAACAGAACAGTGAAATGGATTAAAACAATTTTAAAAAAAAATCTAAAAGGAAAAAAAGAAGTCTATCAGTTTTAGATCTGGTAAAAGCTGACCTAAACTAACAAAGACCTTGACGGTGTGGGAAATACCTCATGCTGTCCCACCCACAGACAAATTCAGGGAATGTTGTAAGAGTTTACAATGAGGCAGATGGGCTTTAAAAGGAAGTATGAGGGATCTGGAGGGGAAGATGGTTCATTCATCTGTCAGTCTGAATTCTTGCACACCCACCTGTTCTGTTCCATGCAGCAACCCCCACTGTGCAAAGATGAGCCCATGTTTTGCACAAGATAAAATTACAAGGGGAACACCTGTGTACGCCACACAAAGTACAGGTCATAGCACAGTCAGAACAAGGTATTTCCCTGGGGCCTATCTTGCAGCTTTGATGGCCTTCAACCTGGCCCTCATCAGGCCTTTTATATCTGCTTTCCACCACACCTGTCAGCCCTTAACACACAGACAAAACAGGGGGCTGCATCACAGAAACCCTCAGCTAAGCCAGGAAGAACCCAAAATCAGTGGTGCTTATCACCAGAGCATGGTTGGGCCATTAACACATTAAAGCTTATTCTATCCTAATGTCAACCAAGATCAGCAATAGAAAGTGCAGCTCACTGCCCTTCAAGCTATGACACTGATGCTATTAAAGAACAAACACTGCTGTGTACTTGGAAGGCTGGTATTCACTGCCAAAAACCTAACTGCATTGGTAAGATCTGGAACAGGTCAGTGCAACCTGTGCACAAGCCGTCTCTTGATATATAACTCTGATTCCTCAGCTCAGAACAAGTGTGTGTCAGAGAAGCCAGCCCTGAGCAGAAGACAGCATCTATGCCAACCCAAACATGGGGCCTTGAGCTGGACAGGTGTTTCCTTGATGTGGAAGACCAGCCAGATCTGACCAAATTTGTTTTCACTGAGTCAAGTCTTGGAGGTGGAAGCCAGCCCCAGTTAAACTGTGACTGGCTCCAAACCCAAGCTTTAATCCAAACATCATTCCCTCCCATTAAGAAGAAAGCTCCTCAAATCTCTGAATATTCCCATATGGGCAAACTCCAGATTCAATGTAAACTGGGTGACTCAACATAAAAATGGATCCTGCACTTACCACTGCAGTACCCCAAAAGCTTAGACAGACATTTTTAACCGAACCACAAAGGACTTAGGTGCTTCATTCCCAAAATTCTCATCCAGGTTCCCAAGGAAACAATCCATTTCTTCTGATTTCTTATCACCAGCATCAGAAGTTTCAAAAATCAAAGCAGCCAACATTCAGGGCTAGCTAAGAGCCACAAATCCAAGGTATTAGCAGCCTTGGTTAAGCCAAAGTCAGAGCCAGCTATGTTTGAGAAGCTCTGCAAGTCTTTCAGCTCCTTACACAACTAAGCAAGGAAAGCAAAGGATACAACTGGTGGCAAGCCTCCTGGCAGTATAACCTAAGCCTTCTAGACTTGGCAGGAAAAGCAATATTAAAAGCATCACAGAGCTCAGAGTTCAAACACTGCCAGTGTTACAAAGAGAAACTAGTGCGCAAGTTGCAGCATCAGGGTGTATCAGCATCAGTCCAATCCAGGGGTCCCTTTGCAACCTAGAAGGGAATAAAGTTTCTCCCAACCTGAACCCTGTGTCAACACCACAAGAGGGAAAGCCCTCTTTGTTGACAGGTTCTCTGATGTGGATGCCAGGACAGCCTCAGGAACAGCTGAGAGAGGCAAGGACAGCAATAAGTAGCTTGGGCTGTGGGGAGGAAATGGCTCAAGCCACCCAAAGCTTGGGTATCATTAAACTACAGTCTTCTGAGTCATGGAGGGAGCTGCTGAAGAGCAAAATCTGACTGCAGGGCTGTAAAGTTCTTATCTGCATACAGGAAACAAAACCTTGCTTGGAACGTGGGGAAGTTGCAAATCACAGCTCATCACAATTTACCTGGAATCAGTAAGCATGTTCCAGGACCAACAGGTTTCCGCCAATGCCTAAAATTGCACTGATTCCCAAACCTCACAGACAAAATCCTGCACTAGCTAGTCAGGAGGCGCCAGAATCGAGGCTTTTAGTAATCGTTTCCATTCAGATAGATTTGCTCTACAGAGAAACCTGACCAACTCGCCCGGCAGGAAATAGCAACATGGGGTTCTCTGCTTAACTGCACTCTGTCAAGGAAAAGAAAGCAACAGAAAAACCCAGAAGTCCTGAGGGTCACATTCTTCAACTCACATGACAGCATTTAATGTCTAGTGAAATGAAACCAGAGTTATATATGGACAGAGGCAGCTTGAGGCAGGAATGCAGCAGACAATAGCAGCTGCAGAAAACGCCTTCCCTCTACCTGCCCAAGTTTGGATCTCCCTAAGAGGAAACACGATGCTGCACATACAGTCCCAGGACACAGGCAAGTCTGGACCCAGCTCACCCCAGTGCCAAGTCAAGGGCAAAGGTTCCGATTCAGTTGCATTTTGCTCTCATGCACCCTGGGGTAAAAAGGAGCTTTGGGTGTAAGCCAGGAAAGCTTCAGGTCTTTTGTTTCCTGAAAATGGCTGAGGAGGGAAAAACCCTTGGCAGTTCTTGGATCTCCTAAGAGAGCAAACAGAAGAGTGAAACTAGCATGTGAGCAGGCAGGGGAGGTAAAAGGCTGTTCAGCAATTTAAATTTAGAATTAATGTCACAAACTACAAAAATCTTAACGGTGGAAGCAGAACACAACACGGTCACCACCACAGGTTACCACCCTGGGCCCAGACCTCCCTCCTATTTTTAGTGCACAGAACAAGCCGATGCAGAACAGCATCAAAAGGGAAGTGTTGTGGCCTGTTTCTTCCCTGCCTCTGCAAAGGCCCCTCTGCATGGTATCTGAAGGGCCTAACATAAGGCAGCAAATTCCAGCATAAACTGGATCTAGCAAAGGGAAAGCTCTGCAACTAATCCTTCAACACCTTGCTTAACAGTATGTGTTGATCAGGAGGTGCTAATGGGGAAACTAAAGCCCAGATAATGCCTTTTCCTCCCCCAGTAAATCAATTTTTCCCAACAGCCAAGATGGGGACAGCAAGCGCTCTGGCAAGTTCCTTTTTCTGCAGCATGAGCTCCCTAGGGACAACCTGATGAGCAGCTGCTGGTGCAACATCCACGGTGATTTGGTACAAGAACTTAAAAACCTTAGTCTCCTGAATAGACTCCAGAAACGTTTTCCATCATGTTTCTCAGGATACCCAGGCTTTTATGCTAGAACCATTAAAACAAGCAAACGAAGACTGATTTTAGTTATCCCTGACTTCTATTTTTTTGCAGGAAAGGAAAGTAAAATCATTCCCACAATCCAGTCATCCATACCTGGTGGGCATCTCCAGAGGGTACTATGTAGGCTTGGACAGGCTCCTGGACATACTTGGGACTCTTCATCACCTGCCGCAGTTGCTTCAGCAGCTCTGTTGTAATTTTTGGACTCATCTTCCCACCTGCAACTGAAAAAAGCACAAAACTTCAGAGCTTCTCCAGCTGTCCTGGGCCACTCACAGACACAGGGTGGAGGCTGTCACCACTAGAAACTCCCCTTGGGGACAACTATGCCAGCATCATCCCTCTTGGACCAGAATTTCTCCTGTCTTGTCACTTCTCTCACATTCCTTGAGAAAGGGGAATCAGGTTGAGGCCAGAAAGACAAAGCTGGTCTGTCCTCTAAAGGACCTTTCCCACCTGGTGAGGGATGGTCATGCCCAATGGTGATGATACACACAAGCTTAACACACTTGCCGACCCTTCTGACATGTGGACAGCAGCAGGAACCAGAGCACCTCAGACCTGTCCTATGATAGCCAGGAAAGGCCTTGGCATGTGATCTTGATGGTCCCAAGTACCCGCAGATCAGAAGTGACCCTACCCATCATGGGCACAGAGAGAAACTCTCACTCTGAGGGCACAGATACTGTGGCTTATATGCCACAGAAGCAAAGGCTGCTGGAAGAGCAAACCATGTAGTTCAGGAACTCAGAAATGGACCAGTTAATAATGCAACTTTTAGAAGATATGTTCGTAGCCCAGGGTTTCATAGTGGGTTGGATTAACTCAGACAAAAGGAATGTGCTCCCAAGGACATGCACAGGGATGTTCACTGGCCATATTTACCTCTGGGCTATATGTTAGTCCACCTAGCAAGAACACAACTATAACAGGAGGAACAGCCTGTTGAGCTCTCACAAGTGACTGCCAGGAAGGCTTAAGGGAACCTTAGCTAAAGATGGTCTGCAGATCTCAGCTGGTGTCAGGCAGGCAGGGGTGGGGCACAGGCTGGAAGTAAGACAGCCGATCAGAGGGGAAAACAAGGGCACAGGCCAGTCACCCTTCCTTGCTGTGGTTTTGCAGTGGATGTATCTTTGGCATTGCAGTGAACACCAGCCTCTCCATTTGCCACACAGAAACCATCAATAGCCGGGGCCTGCTGCGAGCACTGCGCAGAGTCACGCATCAGGCCACACTGCTGTGCTGGCTCGAGTGAAGGCTGCAGTGGAAAGCACCAGCTGACAGCAGAGGATGTTCAAGCTGAGGGTGAGGCCTGGCCTGAAAGCCTATGAAAATCACATAACCCAAACCTCTTCAGAGGTTCTCTCCATCTTTTCTTCACTCACATCTCCAAAGGGTGCCCAAGGTGGGATAATCCCCTTCTCAGTTGTCTACCCATTCCTTTCATATTTTTAAGAACATTCTGAGATCTTGCAACTTTAATGCCGTCACTCACTTTCCAGGGCAAGGTGAGTAGGCTGTGTGCTGCTTGAATGCCATGCTATGCAGTATTTTATTCTGACTGTTTCATTTCACAGCTCATTTCACAGCCATGTCCACAAACAGATCATATACAGAAGCAGCAAATAGCATGCAAGTCTCAAACGCTTTTTGCTTATTCAGGCACTTATTCTATTTACAACGCAGTAACTACCAGGAGCCCCAAGCAACATTACGGTGTCATGCCAAAACACAATAAGGAACAGTCCCTGCTCTGTGATGTTTGCCATCTAAACGGGAAGGCAGAAACTGCCTCCATTTCACAAGCCATAGGAAGACATGAATGGACCAAGGTCACACAGCAGCACTGTGACCAAGTCAGGAACTGAACCAAGATCTGATGCATTCAGGTGTAAAAATCTCAACTCAAGACCACTATTCACACATCTCATCACAGGATGTTGAGAGCACACCAGACTTTTGTGTGACTGTCTGCCCGCAGTCATACTGTTTTAAAACGCAGACCACAAGAAGCAAATCAAGCTCAAAAGGCACCATACGCTAAATCCTCAAATTGGTATCTTGACTCCAGTGACTTCACTGGGATTAGATTACACGTCAGATTTATTTCCAGGACAAATTTCATAGTCTTATACAGTGTTTGCAAACTACACTGAACTTTATTGTACTGTGATTGTTTCTGACTGTCCTCTGTAACGAGTTGCTGTAACATTCTATAACATTGCTTCTGATTTATGTTCAGACAGAGGAAAAACACAAAGGAGAGAGAGCAAAAACATAGTGACTAGCCAACAGAAAAGAATCTCTTTCTACAAACTCATAAGGACACAGCTTCCTTTCCTGACCTGTGCTTTGTCCCCAGGAGCCTGAAAGTCTCATTTAACTAGGGAAGGAATGACAAGGCTTTGCCTTTTAATAAAGCTCCTTGCTGACAAGCCATGGTTTTCTTAGCAAGCAAGAGATTCTCTCAAGGACAAAAAAAAAAAAAAAAAAAAAATTATTGAAAGATTTGCTTGTAATATTTAAATAACACAACTAAGCTAGATTTGCAACAAAACCCATATTAAGGAAGACACTTATTTTAGATAACCCCTACAGCATAACAAATCCCTTCAAAAGATGCTCCACGAACTTTCCAATAAAATTGTCTTCAATTTACAGAGACAGAGAAGCTATTTTCTCCCAGATCTTTGGTAGTCATTCACTTTGGTTCCCCTATAATTTTTAACAGGTAATCTTTCTTTTCTTGGCCATAATTATAAGCCTCTATATATTTAAACCAGCTTCTCTATCATTATTTAATCACAGAATCATAGAATCATCTAGGTTGGAAAAGACCTTGAAGATCATCTAGCCCAACCATTAACCTAACACTGAACATTCTCAACTACGCAATATCCCTAAGTGCTATGTCAAGACAGTGATTAAAACCAAACAAAACTGAAATGAAGGTAGTAGATTTAGCAGTGCAAAAAACACTCCCATTCCCTGCCCTAACTTTTTCAAACATATCAGACCGCTCTGTTACCTGCCTCTGTAGTCCCCCACGTCTGGACGCCTCTTGCCTCTGCTCACACAAAATACCATTCAGCTCTTGGCCTGGCCTTCATAAGCTCCACTGTGCCTGAGAAAGCAAAGGGCAAACTGAAATAGCTACAAACTTTGTCCCCCATAAAACATTCACATCCCCCAGCAAAGAGCTGAAAATGCATTATGTTCCACTGGCAAGATTAGAGATGCACTGAGAGTGAACCATGGGGGAACAGGGAATGTCAAGGGCCAGCTTTTGCTTGTCAAGACTTACGATTAAATCTTGCAAGCCTGTGCTGTTTTCTGCCAATTTGTTTTCGCAATCATTCTGTCAGAGGCCAATCCCCATTTTACTGATGAGGAAACTAAGGCAGAGCAGTAGTAACACGCAAAGTATCACTGCAGCATGATGGCAGTCAGATCCCAAAATCTGTCACTCTCTAGACATACATTAACTACACCTCACCCCACAGGATTCAGTTCTCCAAGAGCCCAGGCCAGATTCTGCCTGGACAGCATCTCCATCAGACATGCAGAGCAAAGAGAGACCATGAAAATGCTGCTGGAGGAACCAGACACCTCCTCCAGCCTCCCACGCGCACACAGAGCGATGGGCAGCGGCAGCCCCAGGCGCCAGCTGTGGCAAGGGTTGGGGACACCAGGCCCACTGTGTCAGGGTGTGCGTCAGTGCCACGGCGGGGAAGGGAGGTGAGGCCAGGAGGTCAGGCTACATCTGGGTCTGCCTGTGACTGCTGTGTTAGACCACCCTGAGTGTTTATGTCCTGTTTGCCTCGTCCTTCTGAAGATTTCCTCTTCATTTTCTCTTTTACGAATAAACTTGTTCAAAATAAGTTGTTAAAAATAAGCGTTGTCAGGAACCAGTGAGACCTCTCTGGCCTGGGCTGGCCCCATGCAGGGCAGCCCAAGCACTTGCAGCCACACACCAAGTCACAAACCCTGCTACTTGCCTCCCAGTAGCCACCTGCACCCCAAACTCACCGAACCTCCCAGCTCAGCCTGCCACAGCCCTGAGCCACAAACCTCCCCCAGCCCCACACAGGGCTCACAGGGCTACGTGGGCCTGGCCACCCCGGCTGGGCCTGAACACCCCGGCTGGGCCTGGCTGACAGGGCCTCGACACCCCGGCTGGGCCTGGCTGAGCGACCCGGA